TCTCAGCCCATCTCCTTGCCCCAAACATCTCTTTACCCTCTTCTATCCTCACAGCTTCGTGCTGAACCCACCTCCTCCATCCTAACATCCTTCGGGACAGCCTTTCTGCATAAACAAGAGCCCTGCAAAACAAAGCTGGATTGAATTAAGGACCTTTTGAATGGTCTCTGCAGCAGCCAAAGCCTCCAGGACCAGGAGGAACGATGGGATGGAAGACTTTGGGAATGCAGAGCCCTTCGTCTCTGGAGAGCAGCAGCACACGAGGCACACTGGGCACGCTGTGGATGATTCACAGAGAGGGGAAAAGTTTGTGCCCTGTTGTCTGAAGCAGAGAAATCATCATCTTGAGCATCACAGGAGCACCCTTTCCCAACTGCTTGGGTCACCAAAACAAGTCCTTCTCCCCCCCATCCCTTCCAGGAAGATGTCTGCCCTTTCTTTATTCCCTCCTTCCCTGATGCAGGTGCACGTGGGCATCACAGGTGCCTCGTCTCTCTCCCGGCGCCAGCAGCGAAGGGGTGCTGCCGCTCCGAGCACCCCCTCGCTCTCCCCCACGCCACATGCTCCCAGCTCCCGCGCAGCGAGTGGGGGCTGCACTGCTGCTCACCCCCCCCCCCCACGGCACCCGGCTCTGACGTGGCTCTCCCACCCCCAGCCAAGCCCACGGGATGGAGCGGATGTTGCCGTGGGCTGGTGGGACAGCCCAGTAGGAAAGGATGGGGCTGCTCTGCTCATCCATGGAGGGGGTAAGATGCTTCTCCTTGGCCCTACAAGGGAGATCCCAAAATCCTGCACCCCACAATGTTCTGCGATGACCCACCTCCTCTTGGGTTGCTCTGAATCCATCTCATCTTTTTGAAGGCGGCTACAAGCTGCACAGATAAACCCTGCAAATCCATCCATCAAGGGTATTTTACCATAAGAAACCTCATTCTCCCCTGATCAGGCTGGGTAAAGGAGCAATGCTTTATATACTGGGGACATCTCCCTTCCTCGAGGAGCCCAGGGGTGACACACACAGGCCATCACCGCCTGCCTGGCAGCATCTCTGCAGTGCCATAGCAACAGCTGAGAAGTAGGGATGCCCAGATGGCAAACTCCTCCGTCCATCCTTCCCCACGCGCCGTGCCGGCACACGCAGGCGCTGCCCACGCTGCCAGAAGGGTAACTCCCCAGCCCGCCCCGGCACATGGCACCCACCGTCACCCTGACACGCGGCAGCACAGGTGAGCCCAGCCACCCCATGTGCCAGCCAGACCTCCACGGTGCCACGGATGGGGACGCAGAGTGGCAAACGCCCTGGCTGCTCAGTACACAAGGGCAAAAGGGGTTTTGTGCAGCAGGACCCCCAGAACCAAAGTTCCCCCTGTGTATCTTGTCTTGTAACGGATGGAGCCCCACACCACAGGAGTGAGACGGGGTCAGGGGAAGCTTGAGCCTTTCCCCAAGTCACACCTGGCTAGGGACACAGCAAAGGCCACCCAGCTGCACAAGGAAAAGCGATGGCATGAACATATCCCCCAAGCCCCATGGCCACCCTCTCCCTGAATTAGGAGGGGGAAGTCCAGCAGCATGACTCCAAACTGGAGGCATCTCAGTTGGGGTCCAAGCTGGCCGCACAGCTAGACAGGACCCTTGGCAGCTCTCTCAAAGGATCTCTGTGTGCAGGGCCACATCCCCAGGGATGCCATCTGAAATTGGATACAATTCTGGGCAGGCTGGGAAAGGGCAGAGGGACATCAGTCAACTCAACCTTCTCCTCCATCTCAAGGCAGGAGGAGGAGCCCTTCCTCTGCTTCACCGTTAACCTGGTACTGCCTGGATTTGCATGAAGGTTGTGGGCCACCGTCATCCCCAGCCCAGCCAGGGCAGGAGCCACCCAGACCTGGCTGCGGCTGCTCCTTTCTCACCAAAAGGAGGATGAGTGGGAAACCAGAAGCAACAGCAACCAGAGAAAAGAGCAGTCATTTGAGGGGTGCAATGGGAGGCTCAGTGATGGGGTACCACACTGCAGGCACCCACAGGTCTGTGCTACAGGCTGGGTGGTTCTTGTCCTCCTCCTGTCACCTTTGCTTCAGGGGTCTCATCCGCCTCTGAAATGTGAAATAACCCAAAGCTCCTGATGGTTTGGCCCCAGTGCTGGGGGGATCTGACTGGGTGGGGTGGGCTGGCATGGAGGGGCCTCTGCCCTGACTCAGGGTGGGTGAGATGGACGGGCCCTCTAAGCCAGTTCACGCTGCTTGCTTTCTCCACCCCTCTGAATGGGCCCTGGCAGGCTTTCGTCAGCACCACCCAAGCTCTGATTGCAAAGCTGAGCTCATCTTTCAGACAGGAATAAGGCCCTGCTTGGCCCCTGGGTAGTTTCCCCACCCCACGTCCCAACTGCTTTTTCACCAGCAGCAGGATGGAGCAGAGACCACCACCTTCCCCAGGGCCTGTGGGGAGGACCCGGCTGGCGCATCCCATCCCCCAACCCCAGGGACAGAGCTAAGCCTCCCTTATTCACCCACAACCCAGTGGGAAAAGATGCTTTTGCCCACTCGCTGCCCAGGCAAGGCAAGCTGCCTAACGAAGCCAAGCCCCAGGTGAGTGTGGCAAGCAGAGGGAAGCGCCGTTCGGTGCCCAGCTGAATCAGACCTGCATGCGGGAGTGATTCAGCGACGACCAGACTGGGCTTCGATTGCACCCCTCGCCCCAGCAGCCATGATGCAGGGGCTGGCAAGGAAAGGCCTGACATCAACCTGGAAGGATGCAGGACCTGATGCCTCCCACTCAAGAGCACGAACATGGCTTCAACCCTGGTTGCCCCCAGTGACTCCCTTTGCCGGGAAGTGCCCCCACCACCCAAACCATCCCTCTGCTCCCATAAGCATGCCCTCCGAATCACTGCTATCTCCCCAGTAAGCACAGACGCCTGGGGAAAGTTTTCACTCATGCTCAGTCTCAGCCCTTTATGGCATTTTGGGGTTCACCCCAGTCCTGTGCTTCGGGTCCCCCCATACCCGAGGAGGGAGGCGTGAGGCCAGCAGCGATGCATGGGGTGAGGGAATGTGCTCTGCTCAGTGTGGAGCAGAGATGCATACAAATTCCAGCAAAAACTGGCACCTTCTCCTCCTTCCCCAACTTAAGAGAAGCTCCTCTCCAAAAAAAAAAAAAAAATACCCAACATCTCTGTTTCTGGAGTTGTCCGTTTTCCTTTTTTTTTTTTTTTTTTTTTTTGCCCCTCTCCTTTTTACAGGCTGCTTATCTGCATTTTTCAATTTCAAAGCAGTAAAGACATTTTCTAGGCACAAAGGACTCACGTAATACTACCTCTCACAGCAGCTCAGATGTATGTGTGCATCTGACAACACACACTCACTCACGCTGGTGGCTCCCAAGCCCTTCGCAGCCTTTCCTGCTGCTCCCCTCTCCCCAAAGGGTTAAAACCAAACGACAACAAACAGCAAGCACAGGAAAAAAACACGAGTTTCTCTGACTTCCCCAGCATCACCCACGTCCCCCGGCATCACAGAGAAAACACTCCAGCACCACGACACAGGATAAATATGGGGCAATTGGAAGGGGAGCATTGCATTAGTTTCCCCATTTACTTTCCCTATTCCTGCTGGATTTGCAGAGGTTTGCTGGCAAGGTGAAGGCAGGGCTGGGGGTTCAGGGTCAGTGGTGCCTGCTGAAAACCTGCTTGGGCATCACATGAACCCATAAGCAAGCAGGGAAAGCGGTTCCCATCATCTTCACCCAGCAAAGGTGACAAGCAGAGCTGCGAAAGAGGCACTGCAATTACTCCATGGCTCTGCTGCAATTGCACTGTGACCAAATAAAACAGGCTCAGGAAGGAACCCAGCACAGCCCGCTCCCTCCATGCAACTGTGCGATCGAGGTGAAAAAAATAAATAAATAACCCTCCATTACTCATTTCAAACCTTGCTGCATTTAACTACCAGAATAAAGGATTCCACCTCTTCTCTGCTCAACTCCCACTGCCAACTTGCTCTGGGGGCTACATTTCCCTAAATGCTCACATTTCAATTAGCATTAGAATAATGAAATGGCTCAGAGTTCATCACACCCAAAAATGTACTGGAAAATAAATAGCAGAGATTGGAAGAGATGAGGATTTATTATATTTTTTTTTCCGCACACACACAGCATGATGGACTCAGGAGAAGGAAATATGTTCCTTTCTCGACTCCACACTGATGAGATTAACATGGGCTTTGCTAACTGCCTCTCCAAACAAGGATAATGCAACTTCAAGTTGATTTTCCAGATAAACAAGCATGCAAACAAACGCAAAGTGCTCAACTAAAAATATCTCCCTGCTCCGATGCTTCTCCCCACTGCCACCACCCCGAGACGAAAACACACAAATCCTATCGCAGCACCACGGCGAGTTGCAAAATTATAACAATGTGAGTTAAATAAGCTACTTCAGGGACATCTCACTGTCCCATTTTTTTTTTTTTCCTCCCCTTAAAAAGGCAAAACCGCAGATCCCCCAGATACACTCAGCCAGGGCAGGGAGCATTTTCTGTTGCAGAGATGAAAAAAAAATATGACATTCTAAAAGGATTCAAAGTCTTGAAAAAGAACAAGCAGCTCAGAACTTGCTTTTCTTGCCCAATTTGGGTAAATATGTGACTGTGGCGTCCCCCCCTCCCCTTGCAGAAGCAAACAGTTAAAGGAAGCAGCAGCTTTAGCATCTTTGCCTGCTGCTCCCTCTCTCTCTCTCTCTCCTGCTAAGGAATCAGATCTCATTTACTTTATTCCTCTTAAGCCTTGGCCAAACTGTTGCTGGGCGATTTTTTTTTTTTTTTTCTTTCTTCGGAAGGGAGGGGAGCATGGGGTAAGGGGGACAGCCGGATCTGCGTCCTCTGCACGGGAAGCCGGGCTGAGCTGTGCCAGGCAGCGCAGCAATGCCGAGGGCACCTGAGCCCCGCGCAGGCAGCCCAGCCCGCACCCCGCTGCCGGGAGAGCCCGGGGGGACCCCCACTTACATGGAAGTGATGTTCCTTGAGATGTCCGTGATATTGATGCTCGTGTTGCCATTGCTGCTGCCTGAATCCTGCCCTTCCAAGAGAGGGAAGAGGTTCCCATCATCCGGCTTCTTACAATTGATGTCTGTCTTGCTGCAAAGACAATTAGCAGGGCAAGCCAGCACCGAAAGCAGATAGTCTCCCCAAATGCTCCAGAGCAAAAATACCCTCCAGAAAGTGCACTTGGTAGGGCAAAGAGAGACATCCATCTCCGATTGCTGCTTCTAAAAAAGAGGAGGAGGAGGAAAGGGGGGAAGGGGGGGAAAGGGGGAAGGAAACAAAGACAGAGGGAGGAAAAAAAAAAAAAAAAAAAAAACACCAAAAAAAAAAAACCCACAACAAAACCTCAAGCGATCAGATGCAAAAATCCTCCAGCAGATGAAATCATGCTGGCAGCTGGCTCGGAGAGGCTGTAATTCCCGCTACGGCAGCGGCAGCGGGCGGGGATGCATGCTGGCCCGGCAGCCCTGCGCCCGCCGCCCGCCGCTCCCCGCCAGCCGCTCCGGAGGATTGCAACGGGAGGCTGGGGAGGCAGCCGGGGAAATAAATAAATAACAAAAACGGTGCGAAAGTCACCAAGTCCCACCTACTGGGCAGAATTAAAATTGACACACCTGCAAAAAAAACACACACAGAGGGAGAGGAGGGGGCGACCTCCCCTTCCCATCGCTTCCCTCCCCCGGCCTGGCCAGCCCTGCTGCGGCGGGCACAAAAAGCAGGGGAGGGGGAGGAGGAGGAGGAGGAGGAGAAGGAGGAGGAAGAAGGCTTGCAAAGCGAGCCGGGCTCTGCAATAAAAAGGATTCCCCACCCCCCCTCCCTCTCCGCTAAAATCAATCTAGGGGAGGGGTGGGCGAGAGGGGACAAACCCACCCCAGCACCGCTGGAGCCCCAGCTCAGCCCCGCCAGCAAAGGAAAAGTTGCAGCGGGGGTTAAATTTATGCTGGGGGGAGAGCAGAGGGGCTCTGGCTCGGCTCCTGCTTTTTCAGGCTCTTTCGTCTTCTGGAGAAGAACGATGCTGCCTTTCGTTTGGTTGTCGGGTGGGTTCCCCCCTCCTCGTAATCCGGACACAAGGGTGGAGAGTAAAGAAAGATTAAACTGAACTGGAAGAGAATAAAAACCAACGTGGATTACAGCAATTTTTTTTTTTTTTTTTTTTTTAGAGGATCCTAGCGAGAAGCAGCTCTGACGACTGGGTGGGGAAAAAAAAAAAAAAAAAAAAAAGCGACTGGAGAGCACCCAGGAAGGACTTTCTAGAAAAGACATACACGCACACACACACCCCCCCTCCGAAATGCAACGGGGACTCAGCCGGCTGCCGGGAAGCGCAGGCAGGAGCGCCCAGGGTCGGGGCTCCCGTCCTCCCTCCCCTGGCTTCCCCCTTCCCTCCTGCAGCAGATTCTGCAATCAGACATGCAAAAAAAATTTAAAAATAAAAAAATTGTAAAAATCCCGAAAGAGGAAGACTGAAGTGTTGAAAAGGCTGAGCTCAGAGCACCGAAATGGCATCAGGAGAGCAGTGAGTGCGAGCTGAACAGCAGAGCGAATTAAGATGCATGGTGCATTTTTGGCAAGCACAAACCCAAGCAGATCAGAGCTCTGCTTAATTTGCTCTGCTTTTCTACAGTGCTTTTCTGCATGCCTTTTTTTTTTTTTTTTTCCCCAATAGTTTCATGTCTCTGCTCCTCCGCACAGAGACACAGTGATAAAGGGACAGTGCTGCAGGCAGGAGCACGGGTGACGGGAGGAATTACAGGTGTAAGACTCCAAATATTTCAAGGGTCTACTTCTGCCAGGCACCGGGCTTTGCACAGGGAGGAGAGACAGAGGGATCGGCTGAACCAAAACCTCCAGGCTCTTCTATATACCCCAAATCATCCTAGTTCAGCAGGGGCAACAGGATTTGGGATTAAAAAAAGAAAGAATAAAAAAAAAAAAAAAAAAAAAGCACAGCTGCAGGGAGGATTTGCAACCATGAATCATGCACCCATACCCTTCGTTGAGGAGCAGACTGCCCACAGCCACACTCGTGGGGAGCCTGTCCCAGCGGGGCACGAGCTGGGCTCGCACTTGGATAACCCCTCACCCATGGCTGCACAGCCACGTCGCAGGCCCTGGGAACAGCAGCAATGTGCGAAGGGCCGCACATACCAGGGCATCAGTCCTGCTCCCAGGAGGGGCTTCTGGGGTGCTGGGCAGCTTCACTGGGGCTCCTCCTGCCCAGGCTCTCTGAGGGAAGCAGGAGCACTCATCCAGTGATTAAATACTAAGGTGGGAGGGCTGGTTTCTCCCTGAGCCCCACCTGCTTGCAAATTACTGAAGTTAAACACCTCGATCTAAGAGGTCACTGAAGTGCCTGGCACTGCAAGGAAGAGGAGCATGGGGGGGTCCCCACCCCCATGAGATGCAGCTCCCATCCTCAGGCACCTGGATGGAGACTGTGGCTGGGAAGGCATCAGAGATGAAAACACCCAGGCATATTTTTTACTCCCTGCCTCAGTTTCCCCACCCATGTCAAAGAGATGCCGTTCTTGTGGCTCAACACTGTGATCAGAGTGGACAAGACACTGATAGAGGACACCACGTCATATGCCTTTGCCCTTGGGGAACACTGGGGCACCCCACAACGCCCAGCCAGCATGTGGGTTCATCCCTTGGCAGCACACGGAACAGGGATGTCACACCACTCACATAACCAGTGCCTGGGGTGAGACCAGGACTTCTGTTATACTGGAGCTGATGCAAAGTCACAGCTTCCTTGTGGCACTTGACATCAATCACACCATTGCTTGTGAAACCAGTGTGAGGCCATCGACCTACCCTGGCACGTCACCACAGGGCCAGTCACAGGGTGGGGACATGTTCAGGGGGTACACACCTGCCTTGGGGACCCACTGTAGTCTCGTGGCACAGCAAGGCTCTCCTCAGGGCAGATCAGCGCCAGGACCCTGGGGAAGCCACTGTCACCTGGAGGTGCCAGGGTGGCACTGCCTGGAGTGGGGCTGCGTGCACCAGCACCCTGCACCCTCCTCACCCACCGAGGTGGCAGCCTGCCTTGTGTCCCTCTGTCCCTCAGGACATGGGGTCAACCCCTGGCCCGGAGCAGCGCACAACTGCTAAAGAAGCAGAAACCCACCCAGAAAGGCTTTAGGGTTCTCCTCTGCAATCCAAGGCAGTGACATGTTTTGCACTCTCCTTACAAAGGAGGATTTAACCCACAGAAAGTTGGGGAGGACTCAGGTCGGCTGTCCTGGGTGGGAGGGATGCGGGAGCCCACCCGCCTCCATGACACGCACACCCCACTCTGCCAACCAGTGCCAGGAGGGTCCTGCTTCAGCAGCTGATTGAGGAGGTTTTGTGCCAAGCCACTGCTTCCTCTGCCGTTAATAGATAAAGCCGCCGCTCAGAGGAAACGTGGCCAGGCAAAGTGGAGGGAATGGGAGGAGCAGGAGCATCCAGCTGGGTGCCTGAGGGCAGGCAGAAGGTAGGCAGGAAAAGAAAGAAACCCAGGGTGGGGGGTGGTGGGGGGGTGGGGGGTGGTTCATCCTACTCATTGCAGGCTGCCAGGCGAGTTCCTTGGCAGAAGAGACTGCAGCGACAGCAAAGTCCCTGCTGCAGCGAGCAGGTGGGCCACCAATCCTCACCCAGCACCAGAGCTGGGTGGCCCCTGGTGCTGCTTCCCCTGCTTGAACCTACCGCCCTCACCGGTTCACAGACGGACAGAAGATGATGTTCAGCAAGGGCAGCACTACCTCTTGCACACCCAGACCCAAAAGGGAGGGGAGTATTTATGAGCTGCCGGTGGTGGGAACACGCCATCCCTGCCTCCATCCCTCACTCCTGTCCCCGTGGAAGAGGGAGGCAGGAGCAGGGCATGAGTGATGGGGCTGTCAGAGTGCAGAGATGGTATCTCAAGCAGAGGCCTTGCTGTTATTGCTCTGAGGGATGCTGGCAAATTGCTCTTTCAAGAAGCATCTCCATGAAGGATGAAATCAGTGCCACAGGGGCTCGGGAGCTGGGTTCCCTCAGCCCTTTGAGAGCCTCCAGAAATTCCATGGGATGCATTTGGCTGAGACTAAACATCAGTTCCTCTGCAGAGATGTCCCTATCGCCTCCATCCCAGCTGCCCTCTGCATGGGGACACAAGCTGCTACCGAAACACCCAGCCCAGAAGAAGGAGCGGTGCCGGGAGGTGCCCGGGGTGCTCCTGGCCACAGACGGAGGTGAAGGCAGCAGTTTTGTTTGCACTTCTGCTCTTCCTACCTACACAGCTGTCGTTAGCATCGTGCTCTCGGGCTGGCCATCCCCCAGGGACAATCATTCCTCTTGCCACCCCACTTCCCAGGTAAAGGCTCCCCAGTGCACCGCTTGCCTCCCAGGGCCAGCAAACACCAGAGCCCTTTGGGACATAACCAGAAAGAGATCCATGGTCCAATATTTGCTCAGTCATCATAAGCTCCAACGTCCACTCCTGCCTCTGATCTCCGTATCGATCCAGCAGGCCCGTGCTGAGGCATGCACCGCCCCGCTCCCTATTACCAGAACAGCACTCGCTGCTCACTGAAAATGATGAGCTGACATTTTTCTAGCCCCCGTTTCATCCAGAAGGATCTGCAGATCTGCCTACAGCAGGACCACTTTGCAGACCTCTGAAACACAGCCAGCCCTGGGGCGGGCAGAGCTGCTGTTCAGCAGTGTGCAGCGATGCCGGGCAGCGGGACAGGGTGTGTGCTCTGATGGGAGAGGCAGGGAGAAGGGTTTCATCCTCTGCGTTGGGAATTTGGCTGCAGGTTCACACTCCCCTTTGCAGAGAGACTGCAAGAAATGTAATTTTGGAGAGGGTCCAGGTTGCAGGGTAAATGCCCAGGAGCTGCCACCAGCTTTTGGGGAGGGGGCCAGGGCTGATTTGGGGGCACAGCATTCCCCACAGCATCACTGGCAGAAAATATCAGCCCCCATGGAGCCAAGAGGCATTTGCCTCTCGCCTGAGTTGTGCAGGCACACGAGCATCAAAAGTGTTGCTCCCTGAAGCAGAGCTCCTTCCTACCACCCTGGGAAGAGCTTGGAAGCAGCTTTTGATCTGATGTCCATATCACTTCTCACGTGCTTGGCAGGAGGAGCCCTCGTGCAGCAGGGAAGGTCGCATCCTGCACACAGGTCAGCCTGGCTCCAGGAACCTGCAGGGAGAGGGGCGGGGGGAGGCACGTGGGGCAGTCGCATTTGGGCAGTGACAGCCATGTGATGAAAGGTGAAGGTCTCAGCTGGGGAAAGTGGCTGGAGAGCAGCTGGTGGTAGGAGACTCCATGCTGTGGGCATGTGGGGACGAGGGCAGGATGAAGGTATGCTGGCAGATGTCCTGTTCATAAGCTCACTGAGGATGTTAAGAAAGTGTACAGAAAAACATCTAACCAGAAACCATTTGCTCAAATAAACAGAAACAAAAAATTCAGGAAAAGACATATTCAAGTAAGGTCTAAAGAAACAACCCTGTCATGAAGATAACAAATAATGCTGTGCTTGCATTCATCGCTAGGACCTGAACCAGTCTCTCACCTAGGCAGCTGCTGAATTAATGTGTCTAGCCAGGGAAAAGGTCTGGTCATGGCTGTAATGTCCAAGAGATGGTCCAGGGAGGATGTCTGCAATGGTAAAAAAAAACCCAAACAAACAAAAAACAAACAAACAAACAAACAAACAAAAAACAAAACAAAACAAAACAAAACAAAACAAACCCAAACAAAACCGAAATGAAGGTCTTGGAAAGATCAAGGAATAAGAAGAGGAATAATGTGGAGCAGATTATAGACGCTGTCAAGAAATCAAGGCAGTGCTTCGATCTGTTGGAGATGCTCTGAGCAGAGCTGGTCCATCTCGCACCAAAAGAAGAACAATTTTGAGACCTGGGTGGGAAACCTCTGACAATGCCAAGGCTGCAAATCCTGAGGGCAGCTGCTGGGAGAGGAGCTGGGAAGGGGGCTGCAAAGGATTCCCAGAGGGCACTCGAGATGGCCATGCTGCAGGCAGATAACGGGAATTATAGTCCCG